GGAAAGGAAAGGAAAGGAAAGGAAAGGAAAGGAAAGGAAAATCTAATCTCAAGATATCATAAGAACGTTCTGGCTCCCTCTAAAAACATAGTAATATTCTTAATAAAGCATAATAATAATAATAATACTAAATATAATTACCAAACATTAGAAAATAACAGTATTTAAGAACAAGGGCTTGCAAAAACTACAGCCTACATGCTAAATCTGGCCTGCAGACTGCTTTTATATGACCTACAAGTTAGAATAGCTTTTTACATTTTTAAATAGTGGTTTAAATACACACGCACACAGAGAATAACACGAAACTGATACTACACATGTGGCCCACAAAGCCTAAAATATTGACTAGCTGGTCCTTTACAGAAAAGGTTTGCCAATCCTTGTATTTAGAGTATTTACTAAGTATTTGCTTTGTAAACAGAAAATGTTTTCTCATACTTAATCTTTCAGTCTAAAGAGTATCAAATAACTCTGATGTTCAACTGACTTTTCTTTTTTAATGTTTATTTATTTAATTTATTTTTGAGAGAGAGAGAGAGGGTGAGAGAGAGAGAGGAAGAGAAACCAGGAGACCGAGAATCCAAAGCAGGCTCTGCACTGACAGTACAGAGCCTGCTTCGGGGCTCAAACTCACAAACTGCAAGATCATGACCTGAGGTGAAATCAAAAGTTGGACACTCAACCAACCGAGCCACAGAGGTGCCCTCAATTGACTTTTAAAACAAAGGACTCTACCTGTGCATTAAGTATAACTGAAAATTATTTCAACCCTTAAGGCAAATACTAAAAAATATATAATTTTTAAAATTTACTTATTTCTTAGCTATAACCTCCATCAGCCCATTTCTCCTATTCAACCTCTCACCCAGCATACTCTTTTGTATAGACTTAACAGGTATTATACAACTGCAGATCCCTCACCCTTCCAGGGATTGTTCAACTTCAAATGAAGAAGAGTCAACATATTCTTGACAGCTCTGACTCAGGCCCCTGTTATTTCCCCCCCCCTTTTTTTTAAGTTTACATATATTTGAGAGAAAGTGAGACAGAAAGACAGACAGAACCAGTGGGGGAGGCGGGCGCAGACAGGATCCAAAGCAGGCTCTAGGCTCTGTGCTAATACCAGAGAGCCCGAAGTGGGGCTCGAACTCATGAACCATGAGATCATGACCTAAGCCGA